AAATACAAAATTAATATTTTTATTTACACATTTTTTTTCCTAATCCTTATATAAACTTACCATTTTTAAATGAAAAATATTATTTAAAAAAAAAAACCGAAATATATTTTAACCTTTAAATAAAAAAAGACAAAATTAATTTTTTTAATCTGCACCTCTTCTTCAGTTAGCCTTTACGCTCAAAGCGCGTACTTAACTAACGGCGTTAACTGGAACCGGTGGGATGCGAACCGGACAATCCGGAATCCAGTCTAGTATGTGTAGCCAGTGAGTCGGTGACTGGGGCCGAATATGAATTTTTGAAGGCCCAAATAAAAACCGTTGTCGGCCCAGGGCATTGTCATCCCTAGCCGCTATTCTGTGCATATTCTGGTTGCAGAGATTTTCTACACACGCTTCGTGATCGCAGGTTGTCTGTTTGAGAGTTTTGGTAAGTTTTGCTTGAGAAGCAGCAATGGAGAAGGACGGACCTAACTGGGAAGAGTTACTTTAGGGGAGTCTCTCTCACTCTGATGGCACTGGTTCTACTCGCACTTTGAGGTACCCATCAATTGTTTCTCTTCTTTCTCGATATTTTTGACAGTCCCTTGTGCAATTGTTTGATTTTGGGGCTGTTGGTTTCTGGAAGTGGTGAACTTTAATGTTTGTTTTGCAATTTGGTTACTGTGAGTTTTGAGTTAAAAGGGTGGAAAGATGGTTAATTTAGCTTAGGAGTTTTGGAAATTAAAAGGGGTCTTACTTTTTGGGTTGATTGTAATGTGGTTCTGTTAGTGAGGAGGAGCGAAAATGGTTTATGGAAGCTATGCAAGCGCAGACTGTTGATGTGGTTAAGCGCATGAAGGAGATAACTATGGTTAGGCGAACTCCAGAGCAAGTCTTGGAGGCTTAAGTTACCCCAGCAGATATTGAAGGTAATGCATGGAGCAGACAATTCTACTTCATGTAACTTTTTTTTTTTTTTTTTCCTTACCAGAAAATATATCTAATTGCTATTGTTAATCAATTCACTGATCTTGGCAGAATTGTTGGATGAGTTACAAGAGCATGTGGAGTCTATTGACATGGCCAATGGTATGACTTATTAGCACATTGATGTGCGACTTTAGTGATGTGAAATTTTTTGAGATTATAATTTCTTTCTGCCTAAAGTTCAATGTCTCTGCAAGCAGGATTTGAAGTGCTTCATGATATTTAGTTTACAAAATGCCACCAAATCATGAGTCATATTTATCTGTTTCAGCAATTCTTTGGAGTCTTGTAAGTTATCTCTGGCCTGTAAGGGGGAGTTTTGTTTTTCAAATAACCTTTAAAAAATCTGAAAAAAAAAAAGAAAAGAAAAATCTTTGCCTCATTAATCTAGCCTTTACTTTCATCAATTAATCTTCATGCTCTATGGAAACTTATTTTATGGCTGTTGATACGTTTGCAGATCTCCACTCAATCGGTGGTTTGGTTCCTCTCCTTGGTTGCTTAAAGAATCCACATGCAAGTATTCATGCAAAAGCTGCAGATGTTATAACCACCATCGTACAGAATAATCCTCAGAGTCAACAATTAATCATGGAAGCAAATGGTTTAGAACCACTTCTTTCTGATTTTACTTCAGACCCTGATGTGACTGTTCAAACCAAAGCAATTGGTGCAATATCCTGCTAGTTTCTTGTCCAACGGTAAATTTTGATTTTTTTTACTTTATATTCCTGATTTCTATTGTGTCTTTCTAATTTATTATTGGCAACATTTAGAAATCTTCTTTCACATTTTTTTTTTTTTATTGATTTTCAGCTTTGATCTGCCACAATAAACCTGGTATTACAGCTTTCCGTCCTGCAAATGGTTATGCAGTCTTTAAGAGAAGCTTTGGAATCTGAAAGTGTGCAATTTCAAAGGTAATATTGGATCAGTTCATTGTAGTTGGTTGTGTCTAGTTCTTGTGTTGATGATTGACTGATTGTCCCCACCATGAATTTCTAATGGAGTCATTTCTTTAACAGGAAAGCCCTAAGTTTGATTCACTACCTACTACAATAAAATAGTTCAGATTGGAATGTGGTAAACAAGCTAGGATTCCCTCACATACTAATGCAACTTGCCTCAAGTGAAACTGCAGATGTGTGAGAAGCTGCCCTCCGTGGCCTTCTTGAGCTAGCTCAGGACAAAAGTAAAACAGATGGGCCCAGTAGCAACGTAGTTCAAGGAGATGAGAAATTGAAGCAACTTCTTGAAGAACGAATTAATGGTATCAGCTTGATGTCTCTTTAAGATCTTGGGGCTGCTAGGGAGGAGAGTCAGCTTGTAGATTCCCTCTGGAGTACATGCTACAATGAGCCATCTTCTCTTCAAGAGAAGGGGCTTCTTGTTTTACCTGTGGAAGATTCACTGCCACCCGATGTTGCCAGTAAGTATTTTGAGCCTCCTCTTAGAGCATGGGCTACAAACTGCCCTAATGATTCAAACCCCAACACAGAAAAGCTAGAATCTCCCCTGCTGTAAGAACCTCGCCCTCCAGCTGAGGCTGCCAATGCTCAAGGTACTGTAAGTCGAGAAGATGATGGACAGGAAAACCCCTCTAGATGGACCTAAAGTGTACTTGCTATGTTGGTCAGTAAGTTTTATGCTTATAAATTTAGCAAAACAGTTTGTTGATCTTCCTTCATTACGTATGGACAAAATTTATTCTTCCCATTGGACCATAAATTTTGATTCTCATTCCATGATGCATATGTAATACCTTTATCCATTAGAAAGATGTCTTTTTTTCTTCTGTGTGCCAAAGTTTGCTTGACCTAAACATATCCATTCTTGAGACCTGAGGAATGAAGTGCTACTTGTCAACTTAACAGTCCCCTTTATATTGGCCGAAATACTAACAATATATGATTAGAACCTATCGTGATCTTTTGTTTAATCTCTGTAGTTCTGTGGGCTTGGTATCTGGAACAATGAAATTCATATTCCGCTATGCATCACTCTTAAGTCTTAATATTATCACTTATATATATACTGATAGAGACAAAACAGAGGAAGGTAAACTCTTCCTTTCAACTTTGGTATTAACATATGCTTATAATCCTTCCGTCTATATTTAGAAAGAAGAAACGGAGGATTTCCTTTCTAATAAAGCCATGATCCCAACTTCTGCTGTCAACTCTCTACTTAGGAGGGCAGAAAGTGATGACATATCGTGATGCTCTGCATTTGTTAAGGCTAGAAGAGTCATCAAAAGCGTAGCTGTACGCCTTGGGGCAAATGGCCTTGAAAAGGTGAGCAAATAGTGTAGGTTTGCATGTTTTTGGATTGCCATACTCTCCAGTGCAGCAGTATTTAGCTGAACGCATTGCCAAGCAGGCGCTTTTGCATCCCACCACCTTGCCTTTGCTCTTCATCTCCAATGCTGATGGGCAGCAAACGTTCAAATCAACCTCACAAGAGGCTGATCCACACCCAATTCCACCACCAACGGGTTTCATTGAAACTGGCAAATTGAAGCCATCAACCAGACTAACATCATAGAAATGTAACGGAGAAGAAGATGAGCCAAGAGTCATTTCCACCACAGTAAATGGAGGCACACCAACCATGCCTTGGCAGTGAAGCAATCCACCACAGTCACCAGTGTCACACGACCCTTTCCCATTTTTATTAAAGGAACAACCTTGCCTACCCCATATCCTCCCTGACCACTTCTGCGGCACATCAAAGACCACTTCTTCACCACTGCCAAGGTGGAAGCCACCTCTTTCTGGGGTGGCATGTCCTGCACCGCCAAGTATTCCAGGCCATACGCTTTCATTACAATTGTTCACCACTATTAGTTGCTCCCCATCTGCATCCAAAACAAACTCATTACCGCATTCAAACCACAAAAAGAAAGGAAAGCACAAAATCTGCATACAAGAAAAAGAAATGTACCTGCAGTAATAGAGAATGATGCCAGAATGTAGAGGAGAGGAAAGAAGATCAAAGAAGACAACATTGTGGTACTAAGCTCCAAGACAGTGGGGGACTTTCGAAATGCTGGTGTACAAGGAGTTGTTGGACAACCTCGAGCTTTTAACATGGGGGTTTACGAAAAGAGAAAATTCCCAACGGCTGCCTTATGCTTTTACTTTTACAGGATAAAATGG